TGAACAATTGTTTTCGATGATTCATCTTCAGACCTGTACAATCATATGGTTGAAATCGCAATAGGAAAGTACAAGGGGATTAACGATCAGTTCAAATGAGATAGATCACGTGTCGATCAAAGACATGAACCAGTAACAAACAACAAACTAGGTCTGAGGTACCGTTGCACAATTGCAGTTGCTGTCCGAAGGATCCGTTTTGGCTGGCCAAGGTAGCTGAACAGCTTCGATCAGCTTCTTTTGTGCACACAAAAGAGGTTGGTACAACCGAATGCTGATCGCCTCGGCAGTAGCAAGGGTCCGGAGGCGCAGGCCTTTCGACTGGAGTGGAGGGACCCTGTACAGTATTCGAAAGGCACTGACTGGGTCAACCTCATGCCCACTATCAACCAGATGAGCCATAACTGAGCTAGTTATAGCTCCAGTACCACCTCGACGCAACCAACGTGGTAGGTGCTCCTTAATGCGTTTCGAAAGTTGCCGCGCCGTTCGACCGATGTAAGTAGCGCCACAAGCGCACTTGAACTGATAAATTACCATAGAAGCGGTCAGCGTCGGTAACTTGTCTTTGTTGTAAATACGGATGAGTGGCTCCGTGGAAAAGGTACACCTAAGTTTGGCTGCTGGAAAAGTTGACTTGACAGCTGTTGAAAGGCTTCTAGTTACACGCTCAGCAGCGGCGTCTCCCTTGAAGGGTAGTCGTATGAAAAGTTCTTTTTTCTCTGCTGTCTGAACCTGTAACTGGTCGGGCTTACTTTGCATGTTCCTCAAAATGAAACGATCAGGATATCCGTTTTCGCGCAGCAAATTCTGAATGAGCGTCAACTCATTATCCAACTTGTCTTCAGAACAGATCCTGTGGGCCCTTGTGGTTAGACAGCGAATTAGGTTTCGCTTATATCTCAACGGAACGAAACTGTGAAAGTTCGTATACTGGCCACTCCAGGTTTTCTTCCTGTAGACTTGCCGTTGGATCGAGCCGTCTGCCCTTCTAGTTAACAGCACATCAAGAAACGGCAACTGATCGTTCAATTCCTTTTCGTAGGTGAACTGCAATGATCCGTGGGCCCGATTAAAGCGGTCAATAACAGCGTCAAGATCAACAGACTGGTCGGCCACGACAAATATGTCGTCCATATAGCGGTGGTAACATTCAAAGGCCGTGATCTCCTCATGTAACTTGGTATTCTCTAATTTCGCCATGAAGACATCAGCTAACAACGGACCCAATGGTGATCCCATAGCTACACCATCCTTTTGTCGGTAGTAAGTGCCATTGAATAAGAACTGTACGTTCCAAGTGCAACGCAAAAGAAGGCTTTTCAAGTCACGCAACGGTATGCATATACTTGCTTTTGTTTCTTCTATGTAGGAACAAAGATAATCGATCGTCTCGAAAAGTGGCTCTATTCGGTGTCGGCCTGAGGGTGAAACCAAATGAGGTTGGTTATTATAGGCAATCAATGTTACGTAAATAGAACCGTAGACTTTAGAGCCACGACGTGCTTTGAACAATTTAGAATCAGTCATTAGGAGTAATTCAACATTAAGGCCCACAAAAAGAGTAAACTTTAAAGGAAAAGACTAGACTGCTACATTTTCTGGAAAGCAGTAGCTAAAAACAGACCGCAGAACATTTTGCTGTTAGCAAGACAATAGTTAGTAACATCCAAATATATACATACGAGTACTTGGAGGTACGATAATGAAAGAGATCCACAGCGGAAGAGGTGGACAACTTCACACGCTGCGCTGCTGCAAGCAAATGAGAGCAGCTGAAGCTCGAATTTCTAGACCGATGATACAGGATATTGCCAAAATATTCTCACAAGCATTTTGGGGTTGCAGATTTACAGGCATCCAAGGATTGGCTAGAGAAATCTAAACTCCGGCATGAAGTTTCCCAAAGAGTTTGTGGTTAATCCATTGAAGTGCCCGAAGGGTTTGATCAAGATTTTATCGAAAATATTTCTAACCAACGTGTTCAAAAATGACGAGATTTTAACGCTGACGAGTGAGGTCTCTTTTTAAAGGCGATGCCTAACAAAAAGGGTGACAAATTTAATAGTGGAAAACATTCCAAAAATCGTTTCAAGCTCTGTTGTGCAATAGCTCAAATGAGGAGAAGCAAAAGCTCCTGGTGATTGTCAAATCAGCTAGATTATGTGCGTTCAAAAACCCAAAACATGAAAACCTTTAAAGTCACCTGGGAATCAAGTCGATTTGCGCGTATGATCGCTGTCATATTTTAGTAGATCGGAAATGGTAAAGAAGAAACGCTTTATTCCTAAGTGGATAATTGTCCTAGCCACATCCACGTAAAAAAACTTACAAAAATTACACCTTTCTGCCTCCAAACATGACCACACAAATTCAAACTTTGGACCAAAGGGTCAACAAAACATACAAAATGAGCTACCGAACCCAGCTCATGCAACAGGTTATGGTAAAATTGCACAGAAATGATTCTCCTGCGTAAGGAACGTCATAAGTTACTTAAGTTAATGCCTTGGATAAGTTTCGCTTGGTTCAAAGTACAAGCAGAAATAATACAGAAGTGTTTCAGAAAAACCGGATTTGTTCAATCTCTCGAGCGGTATGCCTTTGCCGCATTAGACATTCCAGCTTCATTGGCAGTATTCGGCAGGATAGATTTTAAAGAGTTTGTTGAAATGGGTGATGATCTGATAACTTGCACTGAACCAGAGCTAGATGTTATTTTCCGAGAGTTACTGATTGCGGTACTTCCCTACGGAAATAAGAAGCGCCTGATGATGAAAAACTACAAAGTGAAAATGACATGGGAACCAGAGAAACCCCAAAAGTGACTGATATAGGGCATCTTTTCATGCAAATGTAATCATATGTAGTGGAAAGTATAATGAGTAGTGTAGCTTGTGCTGAGCGCATTATTTAGCCATATTTGCGTTAAGAAAAAGAAACAAAGAAACATTTTATTCAAAAAATGATCTAACGAAGGTATATTGCGTTTTGGTTTATCATAACACCATGATTGAACTGCGGTTGCCGTTACCTACCTCGTCTAACGTTTAAAACGGACTGATGTGAAAATAAATTTATATTATACTACTCACAACGGGAAAGTAGATTATGTAGTTTTGGCATAAATCCTCAGTAAGTTGACCACTCCGTTGACTGACCACTTTGTTCTAGTCTCATGTGGTCAACTTACGGAGGTTTTGCTGTGTTTGTGATGTCGAATCTGAAGCGAGCTGCCAATCACCTGTGTGGAACGGTCGGCCAAAACACGTTGCAGAGGCCAACACCGGGAAAAAGATCCAAGCACCGCTAGATTTTCATTTTTCCATTGTTCTATCCAGAGAACCAGTACCCAGCGATAATGACATCCCACACTTGTGTCAAAGTTACTGTGAATCAATTTTCGATATTGGTTAGGACTTAAAACCGAACAGAGTATTATAAGACAGGTGATTTCTATTTTATTAATGTTTTGACCCACAGTGTAGTAGAGCTCCATAGAGTTACATTTCTATGTGCGCCGAAAATACAATATATAGCTTTGATGACTGAAGGATCACGTGATCCAAACTCGCGGTGTGGTTTATCGCATCGCTCTACAACTATAAGGATCAGTAAGAGGCTTCAAATGAATTACGAAAAAGCAGCACCGAACCTAGGTTTGTGGGTCGTCACCACACATACACAGAAAGGCAAAACAATTCCAGAATTTGTAATGGATTGATGACAGGGACTGTAAGTGTTGAGGGGTCGAGACAGAAACAATTCTCCAGAACATACAAATGGCAGAAGTAAGATCATTTTAACAACAGCAAGCCCTGCTTCCGCGATAAATATGTGAAGTGGGGAATAGGGACGCGGGAATAATGGGAAAAACATGGATTGATAATTCAAAACCGTAGAAACGAAGAACTGTGGTCATTATTTTGTCAGGAAATGGGAAAAGAGTATAGAACACAGTCCGATGCACTCAGAAGAAGGACTGAAACGGTCGAGAATGTTAAACTCATTTTGTAAGCAAAGTAGAAGAAAATTAGAGGCCGTGAAGAAGGAAAGAAGCGATTTTAAGAGTTTAGGGTGATGGAAGTTAGTCGCTGTACTATTTGAATGAATGTGTTGCTAAAATCATGTTCGCAGACAGAAACGAATAAAAAATCAAAACATAAACGAACCACTAAAACCATCCTATGGTACAAATGACCGCATTTAAATAAAGTGGCTCAAATGAACGAAAACGGGAAGCTTGTGCTAAAGTTAGAACCCAAAATCAACCTCTAGGCGATAAAACTAATCAGACTGATAAATGACCTGTCAAGAAGAAACGGAGATGAAGAAGTTCGAAAATCGATTACTAGGTTTTGGAGTGAAAATAGATTTTGCGTTACTTGCCTCACATAGCATGATTTATGCAAACCAGTGTGGATTTTGAAAGATCGACGCTTTGTCAGCGGCGTTAGAAGAACAGTTGATAGGTCCACAAATAATTGCTGCACGGTCACCCGGTCAATCAGGCCGCGGGAACAAAAACCGCGTCCCCTGGGCGAGATAAAAACACACAACAGTGTACTACTGAGATACAAACGAGTAGTTAAAATCAAGTCAATTTGTGGGATTAGTCAAGTTTACTTATGTAGAACGGAAGCAACTACAACGAAATCAACATATCACTCAGACATACGGAAAAGCGATAGACAGCAATCTGATTAACTCAGGATGGTATGCAAAGCGAAACTTTCCATTGTCCCCGTAAAACAGTGGCAACTCGAAACCGCTTCAGTGTTGTGCTGAGCACCGGCTTTAACGGTAGCAAGGTGTATGGCAATGGACGATAAGGTTGGTTATGTGGCAGATAAAGCCCGGAAATAAACTAACTAATGTGGTAAAAAGTGAGCAGAAAAGTGATGGGAAACTTTATTGGCAGCAGAACAACTAATCCGACATTGCCGAAAAAAAATCTAAATGAAGCAATCACCGAGGATAGACGAATAAAACGGCGGCTGTCATAGTGTCGAGTCGGCCGTCTGTCTGACTACCATTCGTGATCGAACCTCGGCGAGAATATTATTGACGGCAAGGGACCAGGAAAGAACTGCTCCGTCCACGTGACAAAGTGATGAACTGGAAGACGTCCATTCATTGGCCAAATCGAAGCGATGAGATATCGTGACATGGTTCTGACGAACATCAGGTAGACCGAAGAGGTGATCAATGAGGCAAGTTGCAAATATCGGCGAAACCGATGCAACTGATATCTCCCGCTTACAGGCTTCCGATAAAGAAGTCACATCGCGACCGATGAGGCCACAGGGAACGATCCTTCGGAGCCATGGCAATGGATCATTTGAACAGTTTAGTGCGACCCCATGATAAGTGATGCTATCACTTTTGTGCACGCCTAGCTGAAACGAACAGAGATGATCGAGCCAAGTGAAAATACAAATAATGGAAATCGGTATTCAAATACTAAGACAAATCTTATTTGAAACAGCAGTAAAAATTACATCGATGTGTGGCACATATTATTGCAGTTAGTGATACATTGACACAGTGAGCCAGCAAGATACTGGGTAAATTAGATGTTAAGTATGGCACTGGGGTGGGGCATATCTATCGAAGACAGGTATAAAGAAACACGCACAATAGACAATAGAACAAGAACAAATTATTCAAATTAAATGACCTCTGCTTCAGCAGGAAGAAAAACGGAAAGATCCGGAGATATCCCTATATGTCAGCCTATACTCATCTGCGAAAATCAAGCAGTTAAATCAGACCTAAGTAGGGACGTGCGCATGCAATACAATACTCGCAAGAATGTTGAGAAATTCAGGCGGTAAAGGAAATCTGAAAATGGTAAAGCGTCTTACTCTATTTCGAAGTACACGGAAATTTCCGGGTTTATGCAGGTGCATTAGTCAGGAACTGGTGAACAGAGGTATCTCAACCTAGTTAAATATGTTCATATCAGGTCGTTCAGTGCCAGGGGCTTGCAAAGCAAGTCGTCCTGGAGGCCAGCCCTGTCCTCTGCAAGTTTATAACCTGTATGTCAGTGGACATGATCCGCGTAAAATCGCAGTTGGATATCAGACATGGTAATCCATTGCCGTCACATATGGCTCAGTGACTAATAAGTATTCGCAACGAAAGAACTCCGTGACACGGATTCGAAACGTGAGGTGGGCTTGCGGCAAGTCGTGGGAAAAGCTGACGAAATCAGTTCGTCATCATGACACGGGCTGCTACGCGGCCGGCGTGAGCGCGGCTACAGCCGACCAGTGGAGGCCGATAACAGGTTTGAATCTGTATAAACCAGTGAGTTGAATCAGCCCAGAAACGCACAGCCAGGTTGATGGCATGTGACACATAAAAGTAACTGTCTGCTGTTCTTAATACATTTTTGACTTATTGTGGAGGTAATTGACACTGTGACTAGTTGCAGCAAGTGCTAGATGGCAGTTCGTACATAATACACTAAAAAGGTAGCTATCATAGCGATCACAATGTAAATTTCCGTGCGTTCCCCCGACGCTTTAGTTTTCAGTGGCTCAGTGGGATTGATTGAGTCATGATTGCTTTGTGGCTTTGTGCCGCAACTTGCAGAACATTTATCGCATAATCATTTTCTTGTAAATGACCTGAAAGTAATCACGCATGCTGCAGTTCCTAAAATGCAGTCTCCTCAATCTTTGCATCTCGTAATCATACATATGTTCTGCAACATATTATTTTTTTTACAACGCTGTACCCTCAATCGACCGGTTGATTCACGCCTGCTGATAAATCTGCGCGCTTACGTCTGCTCTGTTTCACGCCTTGACAAACCCGACAGGAAGGAAGACAGAGGAAGGCTCAGCAGATCAGAGTTGGATTAGAACAGAGAACGCTCATATTTATATGTAGGTCTCACCAATTCTCCAAACATCGCCTGGCGGATTTGGCTGTAAGCTCACACCCCACACTTGATTGTCCGCACCGTTTGGCCAGTTCCCCGTCTTGTTCGGGCACCTCAGTCTTCATCCGCCTACCCGGGGCATGGCAACGCACGTGATGTCTGACGCGCGATTTCATCAGCTTTCGGCTGGGCCCTGGTAACACGCTCACAGAGTCTGTCCAAGCACGATTTGAGGCGAACACGCACGTGTTGGCACCCAGCTTTCACGCCCAGCTGTCACCTCCCTTTCCGAATCGTGTCAGCTTGCAAACCCCACGAACCTGATTGCGTTCGTTGCTATGTGGCCGGGAATCGATTTGCACCCGTTGTGATTTTCCCCGCTGCTGAGCCGGTCTACATTGTGCATCTGAGGTTTGCGGCATTTGTTTTGTCTCACCGGGTTGCTGACCCTCAAATTCCAGCCCGACGGTGGCTAGTAGGATGTCCCAATTCAAAGCTGGTGGTTCTTGGGGACCTTGGGTTTTGCCATGATTCGGTCTCAACTGACTGATGTGGTTAATCCACCTCTCATGTCAAACCATCACATCGTAGATAACTCTGCCTTTGCTGCCGATAACAGTTCCGCTCGACCACCCCTTCGGCCTTCGAAAATCCCGGGCGTAAACCATGTCACCAACATTGAAGTTACAAAGCCTGACCTTGCAATCTTCCTTCAGGTGACCGTTGCCGTGTTTTTCTATTCTCCTTGGTAAAAGATTATGGAAAAACGTCCGGATCTTGCTTCCAAATGGCACTTCTATGGGGGGATTTCCCATCAGGTGAGTTTGGGTTCGGAGCGTTTCGATACATACATAGGTAAGAGTAAATTGCGCCCTGTGAAGCCCTTCTTTGCCCTGCTTTACAGAGTGCATGTTTGAACGTATCCAACTTTCCGCCTGTCCATTTGTTTGCGGATGACATTGTGAGGAGAATATATGCTGAATTCCCTTTTCCTTGCACCATTTGTGGAAAGAAGTTGAGGTGAATTGTGTTCCATTGTCTGTCACTAACATCTCTGGCAGGCCGAAATATCGGTACAGCTTCTCCAGCTCGTTGACAGTGTGCAGGGCAGTCGGATTGTTTACCGGAATCACATCAAGCCACTTAATGAATGAATCGACCAAGACGAGATAGGATTGGTCACTGATTGTTCTTGCATAGTCTAAGTGTATTCGTTGCCGCGTTTTCTCTGCCTTAGGCCAAGTTTGAAACTGACACTTAGGAAGGGCCTTCGCTGTAAGTTGACGAGATTCACACTGTTGGTAGAACATTTTAATTTCCGAATCGATTGCTGGCCAGTAACCAAAACTGCGTGCCAAGGCTTTCATGCGGCTGGTGTCAGGATGTCCCATGTGGAACTGCTGCAATATTTGCCTCCGCAATTTCGTTGGAATCACCACTCGATCTCCAATCAGACAATTGTCCACGACTGACAGGGATCCACGTCGATTGTATAACGGCCGCAACTCCATAGGTATGCCTCCATTCGGCCAACATGTTCGTACACACTGCATCGCTTTATGCAAGATTCTGTCCCGTGATGTCTCCATACGAATAGTGTCGGCTGTTACTGGTAGTCTTCTCACATTATCAGCCAAGATTCGTTGGGCTTATGATTCGAAACCGATAGCTTCAATCACACAATCATCATTCTCCTTTGGGTGTGAATCGATAAGACGAGACAGGGCATCCGCTCGACCGATTAGGTGCGTAGGCTTATACAGTATACTGAAGTCGTAGGCTAGTAGTATGGTCGCCCATCGTTACAATCGGTTTGCCGTAAAAACTGGAATTCCTTTCTTTGACCCGAATATCGACAGGAGCGTGAAATGTCTACCATACAGCATCTTATGGAACCGATACATTGCGAAAACGATCGCGATCGCTTCCTTCTCTATCTGGCTATAGCACTTTTCAGCTGCCGTTAGTGACCGTGCTGCGTGCGCGATAGCCTTCACTCCTCCATGCGGAAAAACGTGTGAGATAACTGCACCGACACCATAACTGGAAGCATTTGTAGCAACGACAATTGTGAAATTCGGATTCAAGTGAGCCAAGAGTAGACCAGAAGTGAGAGCTGCTTTGATTGCATCAAAAGACTGCTGGCACTCCTTCGTCCATTTCCAACCCTTGTCTTTTGTCAGTAGCTGGTTCAGCGGACCTCTGAGTTGATAAAGGCTTGGTAGGAAAGCACTGTAATGGCTAACGAGCCCAAGAAACGAGCGGAGTTCTGCGATGTCTTCTGGGGGCTTCATTTTTTGATGGCTTCAATATTGGCCGGATCCGGGCGCCGGTAATGTTTGTCGATGATAAACCCAAGAAATTTGACACTTTCTAATAGGAACTCACATTTTTCAGCCCGTAATCGGAATCCAGCTACTTCGAGAAGCGAAAGCATTCTCTCCAGTGTCTGTATCAAGTCCTGCGCATCGTCGACGTATACTGCTGTATTTGGGATATCGCTCAGCAGGGTATCTATTATTTGTTGAAAAATGGCCGGTGCGGTTTTCACGTCGAACGGTAGCCGGTTGTACTGAAAATTCTGAGGTGGGTGTTTACTGTCAGCAATGTTCTGCACTGATAGGCAAATGGGAGTTGCAGATACACATCAGGGCGTCAGCAGTGAACTACTAGGCTCTGAGGTCCACTACAGCTCAGACTATCTCCACCTGAAAAGTCCAAAACAGGACGGTTGTGGTGTGCCAGTGTTGGGAAGAGCAATACCCATCTATTTCCATTCCAGATTCGGTCCTCGAGATCGGAATGACCGAGGTTTACTTCAAAGTAAACCGAGGTCTCAATAGAGGTTGCGAGTCGCAACCCAACCACACAGCGTGTTCCTTAAATTCTGCTTTGGATTGTGTTCCGCTGTGCCAAGCGTTGCTCGCGGATCTCAGTAGCATAATGTTCAGGGCGTCAGCCGTGAACTACTAGGCTCCGAGGTCCACCTCAGCTCAGGCTATCTCCACTTGACGAGCCTAAACCAGGATGAAACCGCGGTTGTGGTGTGCCAGTGCTGGGAAGAGCAACACCCATCTATTACGCATCAGCTAGGTCAAGTTTTGCGAAACCTTCCCCCCCCCCCATTGAGTTGGCTGAACAAGTCTTCTGGTACCGGCAGGGGATACTATTAAGCTTCCAACACAGAATTCAAACATGTCGAGAAATCAGCACAAATAGGAACTTTACCGTTTCGTTTCTTTATCACCACGATAGGTGCTACCCATTCTGAATGGTGAACTCGTTCGATTATCCATTCAGATTGTAGTCCGTTTAACTCGGATTCCATTAAGGACTGGGTTGCGTAGGGCACCGGGCGTCTTGGTCGAAAGACTGGTTTGGCGCCTGGTTTAAGGTTCAATGAGACAGTAGCTCTAACAGCACCCGAGATCAGGCTGGAACAATGCATCGTGACATCGTTTTACCTCGGTACTCTGACTTTGAAACATCGGGCTTGAAGTCGA